GTAACAAAATTTACCATCTTACCCATTTCTAAGCATATAGCTCAGTAAAGTTAAGTATATTCATGTTGTCGTGCCAATAATATATTTTATGGCAAGCGTATACCTCCATCCAAGACCACACATTGCATTTAGTTATCTTGTTTGTTTTTGTTTCTTTTAATCTGGAACAAGTCCCCAACATTCCTTTTTCAATGACTTTTATGACATAGGTGTTTTAAAGAGTCTAGGCCAACTATAATTTTGCATTTCGTTATGTGCTTTTATAATAAAAGAGCTAGTATTGGAAGTATGATTTTGATAATAATAAATGGAAACACGAAAATATCCATAGTATTTTTCTTCCCCAGTTTTTGGTAGAAGGTGGACCTCGAATCTATCCCTTCGGTTATAAGGCCCTTGGGCAATGTCGCACCAGATCCTTGTGGTGATGGAAATGTTCGGTATCTCCTATCAATGTTAGTATTTCGCTTTACAAGATAGAATCTGTACTTGGAGGGAAGCTGGGTGAAGGTATCATGGATCTCTCTATTATTTCTCACAACTGTACATGAATCTACAATTAACTCAGAATTTAAAATTTAATTTTTTAAAAATGCTTTTTGGCATTTCAGAGCAGGAAGGGTCAACCCTTCCACCAGGAAGAACCTGGCCCCGTGGTGAAATTCCCAGCAGGAACCCTCGTGCCTGAGAAAGGACTTCTTAATGAGTTCCTTTCACTTGCAGGGGTGGGGGGAGGGCGCCTCCTTTGCCCTCCACAGGGACATTTTAAAGTGAATGAAGGGAGCAGGGTCCCTCATTAAGGCTGAAATGGGAGCTGCTGGGGGCAGGGGTTCTCTAGAAAGGAGGCCTTGCCCCAGGTCTGCATTTCCTGCGACAAAGTTATGGCATTAACAATAATCACCACTTCTTCATCCGAGAATGAACTGTGAAGGGAAACGTTGGAAAGGCCATATTACCTATTATTTTCATTAACTGCCAAGCACTTAATAAAATTGAAAAATTGTAAAGCCCTAAATAGGTATCCTTAGGGATTAGTTATGGGCATTATATTCTCGCTCAGTAGAATGGTAGGCAGCATCTAATAGCATTTATAGTTGAAGCCAGGAATGGCATTGTCTGAGATTTTGAGGTTTCTTTTAGAAGATTTGGAATTTTCCTCAAGGCTGAGGGGAGCTGGGTTGGAAGAAGAGCAACATGTTTTTAAGAGTCTCATCAGGGAAATGAACCTGCCCCCGGACCGCTGTTCAGGGTGAAATGCTAATTTTTGAGATTAGTCATGGTCTCTCCCTACCTAGAAAGTTTGGCCATTTTCTTGCTGTTTAGAACCCAGAAGGTCTGAACATAACATTCCTTGACCCTCGTAGGAATATCTCCTAAAGAAATCATCAGAGGTGGGGGAAAATGTGTACAGGGTTGCTTATTGCCATATTCTTTCTATAAGATTGGAAAATTGGAATAATAGTAACAAGGAATTGTTGAGCACCAGTTGCTCTGCTGTTTCATGAGCGTGGTCTCCTTTCATTCTTTCAAGTAGGTTCCATTATTATCTCCATTTTTACAAATGAAAGAAGACATGGAGGCAAAAAAGCTTAGTAATTTGCCCAAGACAACATTATTAGTGAGGAAGACAGATGTGCAAATGACAGCAATAATGCGATAAACATTAAAATAGAAACAATATGAGCAACTATAGTTAGGATGATGCCAAGTATTACCATCATATGCATTGTCCGTTCAGGTGTTTCAGATAAAGCCTAGCACATGTAAGCATCTAAAAATGGTTGTTTTTATTTATACTTCAAACTTGAATGTGCCCAGGAATCACCTGGAGATCTTGTTAAAATGCAGATCCTGAATCTGCAGAAGGGGAGGGGGGGGGCGTGAGTGCTGAGAGTCTGCATTTCTAACAAATTCCCAGATTGTGTCCATGTCATTCAAGAACCACACTTTGACTATCAGAGAGTAAGTAGGTTGGGGAAGTGGGAAGCCCTGAATATTTAAAAACAAATCACAGAAACCCCAAGGATCTGTGATGTGGAAGAAAACTGGAAGGCAAGATAGTCACTGTGTTAGTAGTGTTGGAGAGCAGCTTTGAGTGAATTTCTTTCCCTTTGTCTACTTTCTTTTCTTTTCTTTTTTAGTTTATTTATTTTGAGAGAGAAGGAGAGAGAGAGAATCCCAAGCAGGCTCTGCAATGTCAGCTCAGAGCCAGAGGCAGGGCTTAAACGTATGAACTGTGAGATCATGACCTAAGCTGAAATCAAGAACTGGACACTTAACAGATGGAGCCACTCAAGTGCCCCCCTACTTTTGTCTATTTTCTGTCTTATGAGTTAATTCAATTCCACAAATATTTATTGAGTGGTTTAGCACCAATCACTGTGAGAACAGAAATGAAGGAAATCTGATGGTTTCCTTAAGGATTTTTTAAAGGATCTTTTTCTAAGTTAAAAATAACTTAGGGGTGCCTGGGTGGCTGACTCAGTCGGTTAAACATCTGACTTTGGCCAGGTCACAATCTCACCATTTGTGAGTTTGAGCTCTGCATTGGTCTCCGTGCTGAAAGCTCAGAGCCTGAAGCCTGCTTCAGATTCTGTTTCCATCTCTCTCTGCCCGTCCCCAGCTCATACACAGTCTCTCCCAAATATAAATAAACATTAAAAATTTTTAATAAATAATTTAAAGAAACATACTGAAAAGTGCATTTCATTTTATATAAATTATACCTCTACAAAATAGACTTAACACTTAAAGATATGAATAAATATCTGGGACATACGAATAATGATGTGGCGTTATATTTATTCAGGAATATTTTTTTAAAGGTTAAAATATTTTAAGAAAGGGGCGCCTGAATGGCTCAGTCAGTTAAGCGTCCAGCTTCGGCTCAGGTCATCATCTTGCGGTTTGTGGGTTCAAGCCCCGTGTCGGGCTCTGTGCTGACAGCTAGCTCAAAGCCTAGAGCCTGTCTTTGAATTCTGTGTCTCCCTCTCTTTCTGTCCCTCTCCTGCTCACACTGTCTCTCTCTCAAAAAAAAAAAAAATTAAAAAAAATATTTTAAGATAAAAAGTCCTGGATGGTGAGTCAGGGGGCTTGAGTTCAGTCCCTATCTGTCAGTAACTTGAAGGTTTACTCTCTCCCAGGTAACTTGGACTTGGACAAGTGCTCTGCATATATTTTCAAAACACTTTGTACTTCTTTTTTTTTTTTAATTTTTTTTTAATGTTTTATTTATTTCTAGGAGAGAGGGAGAGACAGCGTGAGCAGGGGAGGGTCAGAGAGAGAGGGAGTCACAGACTGAAACAGGCTCCAGGCTCTGAGCTGGCAGTCAGCACAGAGCCCGACGCGGGGCTCGAACCCACGAACCGCGAGATCATGACCTAAGCGATAGTTGGACGCCCAACCGACTAAGCCACCCAGGCGCCCCAAAACACTTTGTACTTCTTGACATCAGTTAATAATTTCACACACATGTGAATTTCCCGTGTGTGTGTCTGCTATCCTGAGTACACTCCGACTTTCCAAGTCATGCACCACTTCTGGTTGTCACTGTGGTGTCCCAGCCACTGTCATGGCATCCACCCCACAGTGGACACTGGATATTATCTAGTGATAATATGAGTGAATGAGTGAAATCATGACTAAAGGGGAGGTACTTGGCCTCTAGGTAGAGGGCATTTGGTTCATACCAAATATATAATAAAGGGATATTTAGTAGAGGGTGGAAAAGAAAGCCTGGTAGGGAAAGCCAGCTAATCCTTTCCATACTGCTCCATCCTATGGATGTAGGCACCGCCTCCCTACCCTCAAAGCTGAGTGCAGGGGTAGGTGAAGAAGCTCTTGGGCTTGGGAGTCATGTCCTAGATTCCAGAGTGCATCTCTCAGTTTTTTTTTTTTTTTGTTTTCTATTTATTTCTGAGAGAGAGAGACAGCATGAGCAGGGGAGGGTCAGAGATAGAGGGAGACACAGAATCTGAAACAGGCTCATGGCTCTGAGCTAGCTGTCAGCACAGAGCCTGACGCGGGGCTTGAACCCACCAACCGTGAGATCATGACCTGAGCCCAAGTCGGACGCTTAACCGACTGAGCCACCCAGGCGACCTATTTTTCTTATCTGTCCAATGGGGATTAGGGTGATAGTTACTTGGGGCTGTGGGAGGTCCTTGGCAAGAGACAGATCAGGGGTTAAAGTGTTTCAGGGGCCACAGTGATTGTCACTGTCCTAATAATCTCCCTTCATCGACCTGACCACCACCCTCCCTGATATTACAGTCTTAGCACTTCTTTGGAGCAGTGTCCTCCACTCCAGAGGTTCTCAAACCGTGATCCCTAAGAACTTGTTGGAAATGCAAGTTCTCAGGCTCCACCCTAGACCCTTCCAGATGAGATTCTTTGGGGATGAGGCCCAGGAATCTGCTTTACAACAAGACCTCCAAAAGAAACAAGCCCAACTTTGAGACCCTGCTGCTTGCTCAGATGTAAGCTCTCCTAGGGACACTGGGCCTGCATTGTTCACTTCTCTATCCGCAGGGCCTGGCATAGTCGACTTGTAATAAATATCTGCTGAATGCATGATAACTACCATACTGATAGCAACTAACCATTGATTGAGCGCCTTCTTTGCCAGGCTATCTTCTAAACGTTTTAGGATTAGCTCAGTTAAGCAGCCATCCCTGGGATCATTTTATGGATAGTGAAACTGAGGCTCAGGGAGGCCGAGCTCTGTGTTCTGGGGTCACCTAGCGGAAGACCCGGTATGGAATCCCGCGTTTGGTGGCTCGGCTCCTCCCGGCTCTCCAGGGGTCGCAGCGGCCGCGCGCTCCGGCGGCTCAGCCAAGGCGCCCCGCCCTGCCCGAGGGTCCGCGCGTGTCCCGCACCAGCGCGTGTCCTCGAGAGCGCCCGCCCCGCCCCCCGGGCCCGCGCGTGTCCGCGGCTCCGCGAGGGTGCCCCGCCCCAAGGCCGGCCGGGGGAGGAGCGCGGTGGCGGCCGGAGGGCCCGTGGCGAAAGTGCGGCTGCGGAAGCGCGGCGAGGCGGACGGCGGCGACGGAGGAAGCTGGGAGGCGGCGGGCGCTTGAGGGGCCGCGCCGACGCCATGGGCCGCCTGCACTGCACGCAGGACCCCGTGCCCGAGGCCGTGGGCGGCGACATGCAGCAGCTGAACCAGCTGGGCGCGCAGGTGGGCCGGGCGGCCGGGGCGCGGGCCCGCGACGGTCCCGAGGGCTGAGGGAGGGGAGGGAGGTGGGCGGAGGGCCGCCGGGGGGCGGGGAGAGTCCGGCGCGCGGGGTGGCGTGAGGGACTTCCGGGGACTGGCTCAGAGGGGAGCTGGGGTCTGAGGAGAGTTTGGGGGGCCGAGGGCTGAGGAGGCCCGAGGGCCGGCGGAGGGGTCCCGGGGGTGTGGGCACCCAGACGTGGGACTTCCGGGAGGCCTGAGAATGGGGACTATTCGAGGGATCTTGCTAGAGGAGTTGAGGGGAGCCGCGATGAAGCTGAACGCCGTGTGGGGAACCGAGGTAATAGACTGGGGTGTCGGGAAGCCGAGGCAGTTTGGGGAACCGTGGAATTAGAGACGTTCAGTAGGGAGGGAGACTGAGGAGGGTCTTAGGATCCCCTGGAGGCCCGGGGGTGGGGGTGGGGGAACTCGGAGTAGGGGCAGGTTATCCGGGGCCGCACGTGGGTTTGGGTAATGGCCAGGCCAGGGCGGGACTGTCCTACTGCCCAGTTTAGGGGAGTACTTGGCAGTCCTCAAAAGTCGTAAGCCATATAATCCCACAGTGGAGGACCCCCACCCCTACTCCCCGCCTTGGCAGTGGCGAAGCGGATTTTTGCTTGTTCCGGCAGCAAATGCCAACCAGCCAACTTCCTGCCCCTGGGCTGGCCGGGATGCCCTTTTCAAAGCACCAAGGCCGCGAAAATAAATGGGTTTAAATGACGCTTCTCACCACCATTGTAAAGGTGCGTCTGCTTCCCCCACTGGGTCTTAACTCCCAGGAGATGGGGTCCCTCTCCTTTATCTCAGCACCCCCTGCAAACTGCTGTTTTCTCCTACAATAATTGCAATGCCAGACATATTCTGAAGCCTCTTTCTCCAACAGAAATAAATTGCAAGCCACATGTCTAATTTTACATTTTCTTGTAGTCCCATGTAAAAATTAAAAAGAAGGGGGGCGCCTGGGTGGCTTAGTCGGTTAAGCGTCCGACTTTCGCTTAGGTCATGATCTCACGGTTCGTGGGTTCGAGCCCCGCGTCGGGCTCTGTGCTGACTGCCAGCTCAGAGCCTGGAGCCTGTTTCGGAGTCTGTGTTTCCCTCTCTCTCTGACCCTCCCCTGCTCACGCTGTCTCTCTCTCTCTCCTAGAAATAAATAAAAATATTAAAAAAAAAAAAAATTAAAAAGAAGGGCACCTGGCTGTGACTCTGGATCTCGAATTGTGAATTCAAGGCCCACATTGGGAGTAGAGATTATTTGAAAATAAAATCTTTAAAAAGTAAATAAAAATGAAACAGAAAGCTAATTTCATGTTTTCTTTAATCCACTATATCAAAATACTATCATTTCAACATCTAATCCACATACAGAATATCAGTGGGAGATTTTTACTTTTTGGTACTGCTTTTTCAAACTTCGGTGTGTGTTTTACATTTACAGCACATCTCAAATTAGACTAGCCTTTTTTAAAAATAGGGTTTTCAGGGTTTTTTTAAATTTTATTTTAGAGAGCACAAGCTGGGGAGAATGGCAGAGGGAGATGGGGCTTGGGGGAGAGAGAGATTGAATTTCAAGCAGGCTCCATGCTCAGTGTGAGCCCAGCAAAAGACTCAATCCCACGACCCTGGGATCATGACCTGAGCTAAAATCAAGATGCTCAACCGACTGAGCCACCCAGAGGTCCCTAGACTAGCCTTTTCCAAGTGTTTAATGGCTACAGTGGCCACTGTTTATCATATAGCACTTCTAAGTGCTTTTAGGTATATTATTAAGTCATTGAGTCCTTACAAACACCCTAGGTGGTAGGTTTTATTATCATCCCATTTTACAGATTAAGGAAACTGAACCAGAAAGTGGTTGAACAAAAACACCTGTCATTTATTGAGCATGCACCATGTGGCAAGCACTGTTTTCAGTGCTTTAGGTATAGCAACCCTAAAAGGTAGGTGCTGTTATTATTCCCATTTTACAGATAAGAAAAATGGTTCAGGGAAAGAAATTGATCTGTTTGAGGTCTGGCACCAGGAGGCGGTGGAGCCAGGAATTCAGGACCTGATGCTTGATTTTAGATTCCAGAGAATTAAACATAGAGAACAGAGCTTTGTAGATGATCTCCCTACCCAGGTAGCTTAGCTTTTACTCCTATGCATGGCAGGATTTTCTGGAAGACTTCCATTTGGAGAAGAAGAAAGATTCTGCTGCTAAAAGACTTTTTTGAAGCTACAGGATGATATCCCTAAGGTTACCTCCTCCAGTTTGGTATTTGTGGAAAAATATAAACCACGTCCTTTAAAATCAGAGATTGCCTTGTACCAATTCTAGCTTTAAACTACAGTGTGGATCTTTACCTTTTTCTCTTAAGTTTGTTTGTTTGTTTTAGTAATCTCCACACCCAGTATGGGCTCAGACTCTCAATCCTGAGAGATCAAGAATTGCATGCTCTTCTGACTGAGCCAGCCAGGTGCCCATTTCCCTTCGTTTTTAACACAGAAAGCTTCTTCCTGGTGAGCAACTTACCAGTCCTTTCCCTGCCTTTTGTTCGATGACCAGACTTCTCCAAGTACTCACTCTATTAGCTGAATCTATTTTGAAGTCTGTGGCCTAGGCATCAAGGAGAAAAAGAATCATTGTATTAATGTGGGCATCATGCTTTATTGCTCACTCAGCGGATATTTGAATGCTTTGGTGTACACCAGATAGCCACTAAACACGGTGAGGTGTGCAAAGACTTGATGGACACAGCCTCTTATGCTGGGAAATTGTGATCTACTAGGGCACATCAGAAAATGGAGACTAAGTGCACCTAGATATGTACTGTAATGGCTTTGGCCAGTCCTAGGTAATGTGGAGGCTTGAGAATTTGATTTAAAAAATAATTAATTCAGTGGTTCAGTTGGCTAAGTGTCCAACTTTTTAAAACAATTTTTTTAATGTTTTATTTATTTCTGAGAGAGAGAGGGAGATACAGAATCTGAAGCAGGCTCCAGGCTCTGAGCTAGCTGTCAGCACAGAGTCAGACACGGGGCTCAAACCCATGAACCGTGAGATCATGACCTGAGCTGAAGTCAGACACTCAACCGACTGAGCCATCCAGACGCCCCTCTAAGTGTCCAGCTTTAAGACTGAAGTCATGATCTCACCGTTTGTGGATTCAAGCCCCACATTGGGCTCTGTGCTGACAGCTCAGAGCCTGGAGCCTGTTTCGGATCCTGTTATCTCCCTCTCTCTCTGCTCCTCCCCTTCTTATACTCTGTGTCTCTCTCTCAAAATTAAAGATTTTAAAATACTTTAAAAGTAAAATAAAAAAATAATTTTTAGAATGGTTGAGAGGGAATTCAGAAAACTATAAAGAAGAATGAGGCGCCTAGGTGGCTCAGCTGATTGAGTGTCCAACTCTTGATACCAGCTCAGGTAGTAATCTTGCAGTCTTGGGATCGAGTGGAGTGTGGAGTGGACTCGTGTTGAGTGTGGAGCCTGCCTGGGATTCTCTCTCTCCCTCCCTTATCCCACTTCCCCCACTCCTCCCATCTCCCCACTTTTCCCCTCACATGGGCATGTGTGCTCTCTCTCTCAAATAAATGAACATTAAGAAAAAGAAAACAAATGCTGTACAATCCTCTCACATAGCTATAAATGAAAGCAACACATATAGTTAGAAAATTCAAACAGTATTCAAAGCTGTAAAGTTAAAATACTTGTTTCTCTTGTCAGCAGAAATTGTTATTTTAATAGTTTTTTGTGTATCTTTGTAGGAAAAAAAGTCTGCGTCTGCCTGTATATATATGGAGATCCTTTAAAAAAATTTTTTACACAAGAGAGATTAGACTAGCCTTTTTCTTTTTTGCATAATATTCTTTGAAATGGATCTACCATAATTTATTTAACTAGCCCTCTGTTAATAGACGCTTAAGTGGCTTTCAGTCTTTTGTTTTTGTGAACAGTGTTGCCGATGAACTGCTTTGTGTAAATGTGTCCGGGTTTACCTTTTGGAACATATTTGAAGGGTGTACTTCCTGCAATGCAGTTACTAGGTCAAGAGATATGAGCACTTAAAAATTAGATATGACTGTCGGGGCGCCTGGGTGGCTCAGTCGGTTAAGCATCCCACTTCAGCTCAGGTCATGATCTCAGGTTTCAAGTTCCACTTCAGATCCTCTGTCTCCCTCTCTTTCTGCCTTTCCCCTGCTCACACTCTCTCTCAAAAGTAAACATTTTTTAAAAATAAATTAAAAAATAAAAATTAGATATGACTATCAAATTGCCGTCTGGAAAGGTTGTCTGTCCCGTTTATCTTCTCATCAGCAGTGGGAGCCCATCTGTTTCCTGGCACTTACACCAGCCTTGGTGTCATTAGACTTTTCTTTTTGAAGATTTGATAAGTAAAAGAGCAGTATTTCCTTATTTTGCTGATTTGCATTTCTCATCTGGAATGATCTTGAGCATCTTTCCATATATTCACTATTGAGAACAGTTAAGGTTTTGACTTCATGGATGGTGATGGGCTGGTGAGCATTCCAGAGAGAGACAGCTATGCAGATACAGAGGCAAAGAATGAGGAAAGTGTTGACGGAGATTTATTTAACAAATACTTAACAGGGCACTGCCATTAACTAAGGCTCTGTGACCATGCAAATGCATACAAGGAACCTTCTCTGCTAAGACAAGTCTGTGTTTTCTTATCAAAATCTAAAATCCTAAGTGGCCTCAGGCAAGGTTCCAAGAGGGAGCCTTAGAAGTTAAGAATCTGGGTAGGTCACTTTCTTGTTGGGAGAGTCATTGTGTCTTGGCAGGGCATTGAAGGATAAAGGAGGGTTTGGAAAAGTGGAGATAGGGATGGGGGTCAGCATGGCCTGCAGACCAGATTAAGTTGAGGCCCTTCTTGAGAGGAGATATGGGGGGGGTGCCGGGGGGTGGGGGAATGAGGCCTCACGAGGAGGTGGAGCCTGAATGCTAGGCCGAGGCCTGAAAATGGAAAAGCTGCTGGAGGGCTTCTCAGTGGCTCCATTTTTTTTTTAAATGTTTTATTTATTTCTAGGAGAGAGAGAGAGAGACAGCATGACCAGGGGGAGGGTCAGAGAGAGAGGGAGTCACAGACTCTGAAACAGGCTCCAGGCTCTGAACTGGCACAGAGCCCGACACGGGGCTGGAACCCAGGAACCGCGAGATCATGACCCAAGCGAAAGTCGGACGCTTAACCGACTAAGCCACCCAGGCGCCCCATTGGCTCCATTTCTTAAAAGGCTCAGGGTGGCAAAGGGTCAGCCATAGATCTGACAGTCCACAGAGTCACAGCAACAACAACAACAACAAAAAATTAAAGGTACACTCACAGTTTGAGAACACTGTCTGAAGCTCGTCCCTGATTTTTCTTGTTTTTACTATATAGAATTAGCAGTAAGGCAAAGCTAAGATCATAAATACCACAGAAAGACAACCCCTGGGTCCGCATTGGTTAAAACGTTTCCAGGGAATGTCCATGAAGTTTTGAGAAGGTAAAATTTCTGTGCCATTGGCTGGTGGCAGTGTGAATCCACGCAACTTCTTTGCAAGGCAGTTTGGCACCATTTTACACAGAATTTAAAACGCATTATATTATTTGACCTAAGATGCATTCTTAAAAAGTATTTTGTCGACATGTATGTTACAAAAAAAATATGTGAGAGGAGATTCATTGCAGCATTGCAATAACATCAGCAAAGCGCGTGTGCGCGCGCGCGCACACACACACACACACACACACACACACGCTAATGTCCATCTCAAGGGAGCTAATTTATACTAAGTCTATGCAGTTGAATACCAGGCAGTTGTTATAAGAACTGGGCAGAGAGGCACCTGGCTGACTCAGTCAGTGGAATGTGTGTTGTGAGTTCTCAGGGTTGTGAGTTCAAGCCCCAGGCCGGGTGTAGAGATTACTTAAAAATAAAATCTTGGGGAAAAAAACTAGGTAGAATTATATCTACTGACAAGATCTATAAGGTATAATTGAAGGAAAAAGGCAAAATGTAGTGTGTGGGTTCACAATCATCCCATTTGTATTATTTTTTGTTTATTTACTTATTTTGAGAGAGAGGGAGTGCAAGTAGGAGAGGGGCGGAAAGGAGAGAGAGGGAGAACCCCAAGCAGGCTCCACACTGTCAGCACAGAGTCCAATGCAGGGCGCAAACTCACAAACCCTGAGATCATGACCTGAGCCAAAGTCGAGAGTCAGATGTTTAACCTGACTGAGCCATCCAGGCTCTCCTAAAATAAAATCTTTATTTTTATTTTTTTTTAATGTTTTATTTATTTCTGAGAGAGAGCGAGAGAGACAGCATGAGCACGGGAGGGTCAGAGGAAGAGGGAGACACAGAATCTGAAGCAGGCTCCAGGCTCTAAGCTGTCAGCACAGAGCCCGACGTGGGACTCGAACCCACGAACCGTGAGATCATGACCTGAGCTGAAGTTGGACACTTAACTGACTAAGCCACCCAGGTGCCCCAAAGTAAAATCTTTAAAAAAAAAAAAAAAAGGAATAAGAGTGTTCTAAGACAGTGTATAACAAAGTGTAAGTTTTACTGTTTTGTCATATATATAATAATGTTTATTGTGGGGGGAAAATCCAGGAAATATGGGTAAACAAAACAGAAGAAAATAAAAATCACCCAAAATCTCACCACACAGAAATAACTGCTTTAAAAATCAAGGTAGAGGGGCACCTGGACAGCTCAGTTGAGCATCCGACTTCGACTCAGGTCATGATCTCACGGTTTGTGAGTTAAAGCCCCACATAAAGTTCAGTACTGTCAGCAAAGAGCCCGCTTCAGATCTTCTGTCTCCCTCTCTCTGCCCCTCCCCAACTTGCATTCTCTCAAAAATAAAATTAAAAAAAAGTAGAGAAAAAAGTTTATATAGTATGTTAACATTTGTGTGGGGCAGAAGAAGAAAGTATATATTTGGATTGGCTTATGTTTGAATAATAAGTATGTGGAAATACAAACAAACAAAAAAAGCAACTGCTATGAGTCTTCCAGTGGTTTTCCTTTCAGCCTGTGTGTCTGAATGTGTGTTCGTGTGTATGTATTTGGACCCTTGAGATGTGCATGTGCAGGTGTGTGCATACACTCAGTCTCTCAATACATACCTCCCAGGTGTTCCAGTAAGATACACAAGTTTTTCAGACAATATAGTGATACTGATACAGTGCCACTGCGTAGTGGGTATTGTGAATATTTGAACTTTAAGATGATCAAACAGGTGTCGGCACCCGTGTGTTCTCTCCTAAGGGCCTGTAAACGGATGGGATGTGGGAACACTGACCCAGCAGTGGAATGTTGCTGATGTTCTGTGTTAACTCTCTTCACAGCAGTTCTCGGCCTTGACAGAAGTGCTTTTCCACTTCCTAACGGAGCCAAAAGAGGTAAAGTACCTTGTGATAAGGAGAGTTCTGCGTATGGGTCTATAGCCCGGAGACACTTAGAAAGTGAAGGTCCAGTGGAAACTAATTTGACAATAAACTATTTGTAAAAAAAAGAAAAAAAGAAAGTGAAGGTCTGGCTTGCTTTCTCTCTGCAGGTGGAAAGATTTCTGGCTCAGCTCTCTGAGTTTGCCACCACCAATCAGATCAGTCTTGGCCCTCTCAGAAGCATTGTGAAAAGCCTTCTTCTGGTTCCAAATGGTGAGTAGCCGCTCTTAACAGCTGAGGCCAGAGATGTTATTTGAATATTGTTTCAGACCAGGGAGTTGGCAAGCGTGCTCCGGGCACTGAGCCAGTGCATTCAGTGGAGAACCAGACGTGGGCGGGACTCACAGTCTAGGGATGGAAGCCAGGTACACAGATAACTGCTGTAGAGTGAAACAGAGGTACAGCTCGAAGTGCAGTCTGCATCCCAGCGTCCATCCCCAAACTGCTATCTGGTCCCCTGCACCGTGTATAGATATCGAGAGTAAGCACTAGCTTACTTTTGCCAAATTAGAGCAATTTGGCAAAGTCTTTTGATTTTACTGATTTTTAAAATGGGGCTTATCTATATATATTTTTAAAGATTTTATTTTTAGGGTGGAGTGCGTGGGTGGCTCAGTCGGTTAAGCGTCTGACTTCAGCTCAGGTCATGATCTCGGGGTTTATGAGTTCGAGCCCCGCGACGGGCTCTGTGCTGACAGCTCAGAGCCTAGAGCCTGCTTCAGATTCTGTGTCTCCCTCTCTCTGCCCCTTCCCCCACTCTTGTTCGGTCTCTCTCTCTGTCTCTCTCAAAAATAAATAAACATTAAACATCCAGCATGGGACTTGAATTCACAGCCCGGAGATCAAGAGCCGCATGTTTTAAGGACTGAGCCAGTCAGGCACCCCATGGGCTTGTATGTTTTTTAATATGGTAAAATATGCATAATGTAAAATCTTACCATTTTAACCATTTGGGGCTTATATTTTGCATGTGGCTTTTCACTTCAGATTTCTGGAAATTAATTTTCATTGTATTTTACAAAAATATTAGTCCACAGTGGATTGAAAAGGAAAAGGTCTTCCATGGCAGATGGTTTCGGAGGCTGAGTTTGCCTAAAGCAACCAGGGAAAGTTTCCAGCCAGGAGGGAGGTGACCACAAAAGTTTAGCTGTAGGGGTAGCCATTATAACACTGTTCTGATGGTTGGGAGTTAGTATAATGTGCCGTTTTCCAGGGGAACATCATGGGGGTCAGAAATTCAGGGTTCTGAGTTAGGTAGATGTGGGTCTGTCACTCGCCGAGTAGTGTGATTTTATCCAGGTACCCTCTCTCTCCCAACCCCACGCAGCAGCCCCCCTCTAACATATTCCCCCCAGTCTGAGCTTTTTCTTGGTGTGTGGAGGGGGCGTGTTTTGAAGATTGAGATGATATAAAACATATGCTTAACATAGTACCTCAGTAAAAGGTTGCTCTTATTTCTCAGCTTCTGTAATAATTTAAAAAGATGCTATCAAGGAAAATGTCATGATATGGAAAATCTTTCACAATATAATAGCTTAATACAAATAACAGCATATAAAACTGTTTAGCAAAAATAATAGTTTATAAAACTACCACAGTCCTATTTTTGTAAAAACAACAACAAAAAGAATGTTAACTGTGACTGTATCTGCGTGGAGGGACAGCAGGTTGTCTTCATTGTTTATTTTTGGCCATGCTTCCTCTAAAAAGTTGCTAGAATTTGGCAATTTAATTCAAAGTTAATTTTATGTAAAGGGAGAGGCGACATTTGAGCTCAGTCTCAAAGAATGAGTCTGTGCTGACCCGACTGAGAGTGGGTAAAGCAGCGTCCCTGGTTTGCACATTTTACAAATTAGTAATGGGCCCCTCTTCCCAGGCTCTCAGCCCAGTGCGGCACTGAAAGTTGGGGCCTAATTTGTTTGTTCCTGTTGGGTGTGCTCCCTATCTTTGTGCGGGCCCTTTCCTTTGCCTGTCATAGGTTCCTCATGTGCTGGGGGCTCAAACCTGAGCATCCTGAGGTTTCCAGCTGTGACATTTTCTCATCCTTTGTTTGTGTGATTCTTGCATTTTCTGCTCTCCTTGTGGGTTAAAGGCACGTGGACCAAAGGCTGTAGGAGACCGTGCAGGCGTTGTAACGCGGGCGTATGTTTTCATTGCAAAGCCACAGCCATGGGAAGCTGTCGGAGAGCCTCCCTCCTGGCTAGAAAAATCCCCTCCGGCCTTCATGCTACTCTTGTCTCCAGACACCATCGCAGTTTAATTTTGGTGTATATCCTTTTGTTTTCATGCACATATGTATCCATGTACCATTTGCCATAAATGGTGGCAAACCAGAAAAGTGCCCATGCAGCCTGTATCTTGTTTTACCTGCTGTGTCACAGAGACCCATCCGCGTGAACCTCATTCTTCTCAGGGCTGTGTGTGCCGTGGGCTGGATGTATCTTTTCGCCGTCTGTCTCCTGCTGCCGGACATTGTAGGTCTACCCCTTCACTCTTAGAAGCAGTGCCGCGGTGAACGTCCTTGGGAAATTGTGCCCTCCCGAGTGTGAGCGTTTCTGTACGACAGGTGCCTGGCATGCAGAATCAGAATCTTTTTCTCATTCTCTAGCCTACACCTGTGGGAGTGGGTTTGTCTGCGGGTGGGGACCTGCCTGTTGAGAACACTGTTTTCAGGAGACCTCTGTCTTCTGGTGTCCCTGCCTCCCTCCTTTCCGGTCTTCCGTGGCTCTGTTCCCTAAGCCCCTCAGTCCTGTCACAGGGCCTTCAGTCGTCCCAGCCGGGGAACTCCCACCCCTGTGCTGCCTTTCAGAAAGCCTTCCTAAAGCACTTCAATCTGCAGTGACCTCCCTTCCTCTCAGCTCCCGAGAGATGGTTTTTATCTACAGTTACCATTTTGGACCACAGTCACTTACAGTTTTCTATTGTTCATGTGTTTTAACATGTGTCTATTTTGTGGCTTTAACAGAGAGCCTGTTCTTTGAAGTCAGAGGAGGATCTTGTACTCCTTTCCTGAGCCAAGGTTACAAGTAAAGTGATGACATAAAGCAGACACTTAGTACATGCTGCATGAGTTACTGAGCCTGGGAGATCCTGTCACCTCCCAGGGGATGTTGGGTGTATATTTTTCGGGTAAGATTGTTGTCGTTGTTTATAGCAGATCATTTTCTGTAGGTGCAGAGACCCCCAAGGAACTCACAGCACACTGATCAAGAGGTGGGCTTTGCAGGCTCATGTGGATTTGAGGGTCGATCACATCACCTATGTAGCTATTCAACCTTGGACAAATCAGCCTCAGTTTCTTATCTGAAAAATGGAGTAATAAGAACAATTTATGGTGGTGGCATTAGGAATGAACAAGTTAGTATATGCAAAGCACTTAATTTGGTGCTTGCTAAAATTCGGCTTTATGTATTGTAGTTCAGTTAGTTTCAGCCCTGTGCCTCCCCAGATTATGAGGACTAAGCATCTGAGAGTGTAGCTTATAAGGCACTTACCGTTTCCTCGGCCCAGGATGAGTCCTTAGTCCGTCGTGCCTTACTGTGGCATTGACGTCCCCAACTCTCCCCTTCTGTCCCAGGTTCCAGCCTGGCCTGGAGGAATCACTTCCGCAGCACAACGGGAGCACGCTGCACCTCACAGCTGTTTACTTCACATGGTGAGGGCGGCTGTCCTCAGTGGTGTTCCACACCTTTCCCAGCCTCATCTGAAATATAAGGGCCTTGAGGTCCTCACCCTCTTCTTCATCCCTCATCCTGGGCCCGCCTTGCCATAAGACCTTTTTGGAGAAAGACAGCCTCCTCATTAGGCCTGAGGAGGCTCAACCCTCCAGCTAAGTTGTCCCCAAATTGGTGTTTGCATCCAGAAAAGGCTTCTGTGGTCACAGCCGGAAGCAGGAACTACTGTCCCTCCTACTCCCCAGCCTTGCGACCTTGGAGAGACACACACACATTAACCTATCTCAGGCTCTGAAAAGTCCCGCAATAAAGAAACCTACTTCTCCAGTATCTGAGAAACAGTTAACCATGAAACCCTCCTCCTCCTCCTCCCCCCTCCCTCCTCCTCCTCCTCCCCCTCCCCCCCCCCCCCCCCCCCCTCCTCCTCCTCCTCCTCCTCCTCGTTCTCCTCCTCTTTGTAGGGGGAAGGTCAGGTAAAAACTTTTTGTAAGGGCTGTCCTTTGTCTTGTAGANCTCCTCCTCCTCCTCCTCCTCCTCCTCCTCCTCCTCCTCGTTCTCCTCCTCTTTGTAGGGGGAAGGTCAGGTAAAAACTTTTTGTAAGGGCTGTCCTTTGTCTTGTAGATAGAGGCAGAGCCCTAGAGAGAGGAAGTGACTTGCTTAGGATCTTACAGTAGAAAAACTTGGGCTGTTACCTCCCTTGGTTAGTGTAAAGCCCAATGGTTTGTGTGTGTGTGTTTTAAATGTTTTTCTTTTATTAATTAGTACTTAATTCTTAAAAACACCTGACCACAGGGGCGCCTGGGTGGCTCAGTCAGTTAAGCATCTGACTTCAGTTCAGGTCTTGATCTTGCTATTCATGAGTTCAAGCCCTGTGTCAGGCCCTGTGCTGACAGCTCAGAGCCTGGAGCCTGCTTCGGATTCTGTTTCTCTCTCTGCCCCTTGTCCCCTCTCTCTCATTCTCTCTCTCAAAAATAAATAAACATTAAAAAAATTTTTTTAAACACAGCTGATTTCAATAGTTATCACCCCATAGCCAGATTGTTTCATGCATACCCCTTCCACTTCTCACTGCTCTCCAAACTGGGTTATTTTACAGCAAATCTCAGAGGTCCTATTATTTCATTTCTGAATACCTAGCTATCATCTCTAAAAGATAAAGGCCTTTTTTCCCCTTATCAAACCACAGTGCCATTATCTAAAATTAAAATATGCAGTCAGTGCTCTAGTGTCCCCATTGTCTCACACATTATATTTGTCTATAGTTGGTTGATTTCCTCAGGATCCAGGGAAGGCCCCACACTGCATTTGGTTGCTGGATACCCCCTTGTATGCTTACTTGTCCCCTTGGCTACTTAACAGTCTTGAGATCTTGAGACAAGTTACCGAACCTCTCTGAGAATCCATTTTCCTCAGAAAACAGAGCTCATAATAGTAGCTCATACATCATTATAAGAATAAAGATGATAAATGTAAAGTACTTCAGTAAGTGGTAGCTGCAACGCTGCTGATATTATGATTGTTGTTACCATTATGGGTTGTTTCCTAGACACAGAGAACTGCTAGATTATAGATAACTTGGCTGTAGGGCTACTACTGAAACCTGATTTTATTTTTTATTTTTTTATTAAAAAATTTTTTTAAATGTTTGTTTATTTTTGAGAGAGAGAGAGAGAGACAGAGCATGGGCAGGGGAAGAGGGGCAGAGAGAGGTGGAGACACAGAATCCGAAACAGGCTCCAGGCTTGGAGCTGTCAGCACAGAGCCCCGTGCAGGCCTTGAACTCAAGAATTGTGAGATCATGACCTAAGCCAAAGTCAGATGCTCAACTGACTGGACCACCCAGGCGCCTCAAAGCCTGGTTTTATTTTAATACTTAGCAAGGTATGTGGCCCTTGTGGATACTCAGTAACTGTGTTTTAAGAAAAGGTGATAACTCCCCTTCTTGTTTCCCAAAGGAGTTCTTTCTGGCTGGGCAAAAAAGTAGAGTAATCAACATTGAACAATAGTCACAAATGGTATATAATCAGCTGTAGAACTAAGTTCCCCAGGACTCCCAACCTCACTTCCCTCTATTCTTTTCTTTTCTTTTCTTTTTTTCTATTACTTCTTTCTATGGCACTTTTTAGTCATATTCTATATGGCTTTCTTACTTGTTATATTATTGTTGTGGTCTTTCTCTTACTGATAGAATGTAAGCCTCACGAGGCAGACATTGATGTTTCCTAGCAGCTAGCATAGTGCTGGCCCTAGTAGGTGCTCAGGAAATGCGTGTACAGTGACTATGACTTCCGTCCTTCATGAGCTTCAGGGAAGTGGATTCGGCTGGTCAGCCTTCAGGGCCAATAATGGCTCACTGAATGTGGCTTACCATCCTCTCCCATCTGCTCCCTTCTCCTGGAGTTTTAACCAAGGCTTAGTTCTGTTCCTTGAGCTTCCTTTATTATACTGAATAAGCTTATGTAGATTTTTGGCTAGAAGAACAATTCATTAATTTCCCAGCTGTTTCCTGGCAAAACTGAAAGCTGCACCCTTGACATACACTTCTGTTTTGTCCCCCATAGTGTTTGATGGCAATAAGGGTTTACGAGGGGCACCTGGGTGGCTCAGTTGGTTAAGCGTCTGACTTTGGCTCAGGTCATGATCTCACGGTTTGTGGGTTCCAGCCCCATGTCAGTCTCTGTTGACAGCTAGCTCAGAGCCTGGAGCCTGCCTCGGATTCTGTGTCTCCCTCTCTCTCTGACCCTCCCCTGTTCACGCTGCCTCTCTCTCTCTCTCAGAAATAAATAAAACATTAAAAAAAATTTTTTTTAAATAAGGGTTTACCTAAAGCAACTGTTATAGTGACAACTGGTGCTCGGGATTTTATACACCATCTCAGATGGTTATATGTGTTTAAAGATGGACATTCTCAAATTTCCCCCAGTGGCCTGTTCTGGGAACTCCAGCTCCGGATTTAGTTTCCTTTCTGTCTGACGTAGAGTCAAGGCCTCAGGCCTGGCTTGTGCTTAGGACAAAGGAATCACCAAAGGAGAAAGCTGAAAAAGAAGTTAAGAGCTGTAGTCAACAATTCTGTATTATAAACTTCAAAATTGCTAAGAACCTAGATCTTAAAGGTTCTAACCACAGAAAGGAAATGATGTGATAGAGATATTAGCTAATGCTACAGTGGCAATCATATTGCCATATATGAATATATCAAATCATCCGGTTGTACACCTGAAACTTACACAATGTTATAGGTTAATTATATCTTAATAAAAAGAAGGGAAGATTAATTAATTAACAGCTTGAGGCCTAGCATGATGCAAATATATATATGTATATATATATTTTTTAATGTTTATTTATTTCTAGGAGAGAGAGAGACACAGCATGAGCAGGGGAGGGTCAGAGAGAGAGGGAGTCACAGATTGAAACAGGCTCTAGGCTCTGAGCCGGCAGTCAGCACAGAGCCCGACGTGGGGCTCGAACCCACGAACCGCGAGATCATGACCTAAGCGAAAGTCGGACGCTTAACCGACTAAGCCACCCAGGCGCCCCTATATATGTATATTTTTTAAAATATTTTTTTATTTAAATTTTTTTGAATGTTTATTTTGATAGAGTACAAGCAGGGAAGGGGCAGAGAGAGAGAGAGAGAGAGAGAGAGAATCTCAAGCAGGTTCCAAGCTATAAGCACAGAGCCCGATGCAGGGCTCGATCCCATGAACCCGGAAGATCATGACCTGAGCCAAAACTAAGAGTTGGATGCTTAACCACCCAGGAACCCTGCAAATATATTTTTTAAATGTGACGTGGGACACAACAGTGGGCATAACAGACCAAGTCCTTATCTCATCAAACTGACATTCTAGTACAAGAATGGGCAATAAATATGTAACATGAAATTGGGTGGTTATAAATTCAGTGCAGAAAAGTATAGCAGTAGAAGGGCCAGTGAAGAGCAGCCCCGCTTGAAATGGGGGGGGGGTTCAAGGAGAGGCTGGAATGGCTGTGTGCAGATTTGAGGAAGTTTCCCCGGCAGAGGGAACTGCAAAGGCCAATGCCAGGAGGTAGGAACGTGCCTGGCATGTTGTAGGAAGTGCTGAGTAAGCAAGGGAGAGGAGAGCTTGGGGCTTCTGAGGGTGGCCAGACCCTGCAGGACACTGCAAGGGCTTTGGATTTTACTGAGTGGAGCCAGAGCTATTAGAGGGTTTTAGCAGGGCAGAGACCTGGTCTGTACTTAAGTTTTAACCAAATCACCTCGGCATCCAGGCTGCCGTGTGGATTCACTGAAACCAGTCCACTGCTCCTGACTTTTTATCTCTACTCCCAACATTGCCAAAGAGTACAGTACCGCATCTATTTCAGTGCTTTCGCGAGCATGTCTGTTGGGTGACTTCTTGGCAGTGCAGTTGTCAACTGTGTGCCTTTGCCAGATTTTCTCCCCCAAAGCTTAATCTTTCTGATCTTTAGTTTCCTGGTAAATTAAAGGTTTCACTAGTAATCCCCCACTTCAGACTATTTTAGGATCATCAAGCAAAATATTGGATTTGAGTTAGACACACACTAAGGAGTTGTACATGTGGTAGTTATGAATTAATTGAATTGGCTAGGAAGTGGCCTTTTTCTAGGGCCTTCATGGCCAAGGTTTCCTGGTGTCTTGGCTTTTTGATTTCCCTATGGCTTCCTTGCTCAGTCTGATTTTGGCGATAAAAGATTTCCTCCCTTTGTTGACATGGTTTATTTTGCAGTGGACAAACAGCCTTTAGGATTGTTTTTCTGGCGTGCCATGGGGGTGGGGAGTTGGGTTTAGGGTATTACTTCGGGGCCCTCCCTGGATAGTGGCGGACGTCTTCTTATTCTTTAATTTGTCGTCTTCTGGAAGACTAAGAAGTGGAAAATTTTTAAGTGGTTTCCAAATTATGACTCCAGGCTGTGGTCTGAGGTTAAACATCGAGAAGCCCAGATTGCTGGAAACACTTTGTTTTCAGGAATTGGCGCTCGCAAGCAGAGCAAGAGCAGCCCCCACGGGGGAGTGTTCGCGGGGCTTGTGAGGTAAGCTTTGCTGGGCCCTCTGGAAGTAACTTGTGAATTATGGAGGCCAACTGTCCATCTAGATTTACGTTCTGAAAGCGGGCTCTCTATGGCAGCGCCACCTGGTACGGCTGTCTAGGTAGACGGAGACCGTCTCTGATCTGTGCCGTCCAGCACCGTGGCGCCCGGACCTGTGTGGCTATTGAGGACTTAAACAGCTGGTGCACTGAGGAACAGAACTTTAAATTTTATTTAATTTTAATTAATTAAAATCTAAGAGGGTGAAGGGAGAAAAAAGTAAATAAACCTTTAATAGCCACGCATCTTTAGTGGTTGTGTGTTGCACAGTGCAGTTCTAGGCCATTGCCCTTATGTCCCGCCTGACACTGAGCTCCCTGATGTTGCTCCAGGAATCTGTGGCCTTATTCTTTCCTCTGATCGGGGACCCCCAGCCCCATGTCCATAAAGTCCTTTCTGTTGTCTCTGACTTCCTCCGTACTTTCTGGAGGGGTGAACACCTGTGTTGTGCAGTGAACAGAGCCTGCTGTCACGTCCTCTCCAGTGGTTTCCTTTCTGCATCTTCTCCACAGCTGGCTTGAGAGTTTCCTGTAGCCGGCCAAGTCTTTGTGTATCCCTTTTGTCACCTCTGTCGTATCACTTGTGCCCATTGATATGTAGTGCCAATTGATTACTGATTTCCTCTTTTTAACTGCTTTCTCCTGTTTCCCAGGTGCCTTGAGGAAGAGTCTCACAGCTGATCAGGTCCGGGCTGATTTCATGACTCTGGGTAGGTCATCGCCAAGGTTGCTTAGGGTGACAGGCCCACTGGCTCTTCATGATGTTAAAATCTCCTTCTGTTCTCTTATAGGTCTTAGTGAGGAGAAAGCCACTTACTTTTCTGAAAAGGTATCATGATTCACCTTAATCAAGGTTAATTAAGATTGTTTGCTTTTATTTCATGAATAGAAACATGAGAAATGCCGACTAAGGAGAAACCATCCATCGTTATGTGTCATTTCCCCAGCTTACTGGTTTTCATTTGATTTCATGCAAATAACATACACAGCATTTAAACAGCACTGTTCAGTACATCTCTAATTTTTTGCCTCTGATTTGACTGACTTTAATCGTCGTACAGTTTCTGATCCAATCTTGATTAAATCTTGGAATGAAAGAAAACATTTAGGGGCATCTGAGTGGCACAATTTGTTGAGCTTCTGACTTCAGCTCAGGTCATGATTTTGCGGTTCGTGAGTTCAAGCCCCGTGTCGGGCTCTCTCCTGTCAGCACAGAAGGAGCTGCTTTGGATCCTCTGTCTCCCCTCCCGCAGCCCCTCCCCTGCTAGCACTCTCCCTCTCAAAAATAAATAAAACATTTAAAAAACCCCAAAAACATTTGTATCGTCTTCTGCCCCTCTTTGCTTCCCACACCCCCCAGATCTGTGCATATAGGCCAAGCCCTTAGTTCTATATTCTTCCCCTTGTCTGTGTAAATACTAAACTTTGCTGTGTTGGGGGCAGAATGAAAAAGGGGGATTTCCCCCATTGTTATGACTTTGGCTTTTTGCTTTTGTTTCAGTGGAAGCAGAATGCCCCCACCCTTGCTCGATGGGTCATAGGACAGACTCTGATGATTAACCAGCTTATAGATATGGAGTGGAAATTTGGAGGTAACTAGTCAGAGCCAGTCTTGGGTCGTTTGGGGCATGTAGGGTGGGGATGCAGAGGCTTTCAGATAGCTGCCAGGGGAGGATGGGTCCTCAAAGGTGGTTGGGGCCAGCAGCTGCTGCCCTGCACTGCCCTGGGCAGCTGTTTCCATCCATGGCTCTCTGTATGTTGACTTCCTGAAGAGCACATTGTGCTGTCCTCATACTCGTCCCCACACTGCTTCTGCTGGACAGTCTGCAAGATTGGGGTGTTCAGAGTCTGTTGTCAACCCATCGCTTACTACTTTTCTCTTTTGTATCACAGTGACATCTGGGAGCAGTGAACTGGAAAAAGTGGGAAGTATTTTTTTACAAGTAAGTTTCCTGATCTGTGAAAATGGGTAGATTTTTGACTTGGTTAATAATTATTAAATCGACTTTGGACTTTTTAAATACCCAATTTGGATGTGGATTTCCACTGAAGTGTCTTGTGTAGCTCAGAGCAGTATTGTCAGCCAAAAATGTGGCCGCTAACACGCCTACTCTCGGATTAATAGGATCCTGACATTGTTCTTAAAAGCTTGATTGTTCTGTAATCATGGAATTGTTGGAAGTTTCAAGGATAGACGCCCAGACTGCTCCTGTCTGACTCTCAAGTCCGAAGCTGGATGCTTTGATGTTTAAGTGAAAGGCTTTCAAGAATTTCTTTGCCCAGTTGTCATCATTTTAATTTCAGTTTTTTAATTTATTTTCTTTTTAATCAGCTCAAGTTGGTGGTTAAGAAAGGAAATCAAACTGAAAACTTGTACATAGGTGAGTCCGAATTCCCATTTGAGCCTTTTCACTTTTCCTGCGTTCTCCTCAGTTGGTGGGCTCGTGAGGCACCACAAATCATTTCTTCTAGCAAAGAAGTCATAACCGAGCTGTGGAGTAGCCATTCTACTTCCTCTCATCCTATAAATAATAAGCCATCAGCAGGCTGGATACCCCACAGTTGAAGAACCTCTTTGGAAAAGGGAGAGTGCAGGGAGAAGGGCGCGAGGACTCCAGAGCAGGCAGCTTGGCTACAGAAGCCACTGAGCACCCTCATTGATAGCCTCTCATCTCTTTGCGCTGTGGACTTGCGCCATTTTTTAATTCTCCACTTTCCTATGGAGCCCAGAACCTTTCTCTGTTCAAGGCTCTCAGTTCTTTATTATGGTCAATTACCCATCAAGAGCTGCTTAGATATACGAAGTCAAAAAAGAAAAAGAAAAAAAAAATCTCTGGGTGGAAATTTCGTGTTCTTGGATGATTCTGTGGAGTCAGAAACGTTTTCCTGAAGGTGAATTTTCTCTCCCCAGAATTAACCTTGCCTCAGTTCTACAGCTTCCTGCATGAGATGGAGCGAGTCAGAGCCAGCATGGAGTGCTTCGGCTGATTTCTGGCCCCCTTCCCTGCCCCCTTCTCTTCCATGGGTGGCTGCTCGAAGAGGCGCCTCACCCACAGGTCTGTGGGGTACTGATAACAGCCCTGCTTGCTTCTTGGGAACCCAGGTGCAAAGGTTTCTGGAAAACAACCGGATTAAGTACTTAAAGAGCCCTACACGATTACTCTGAATTCTTTGTTCAGGGAACCTCCAGCACCTATCTCCCAGGACACTTTTTAGGTATTCAGACAGGCTGTCACATCTCAGATTCAGGGGAGGAAATAAGTTGTCACTTCCCCATCAGAGTTTCGGAGTAAACAGATGGTGCCATCACTCAAGATGCACGCTGACCCCCCCTCCCCTCAAAAAAGCAAAGGCTTATTTATGGCTGAGGAAGAGGCAGACTCGACGGCTGCCACGCGTGGGGAGCCCCCAGCAGTCTTGGTGTGCACGCCGCCTTCGTGGTGGTGGTGGTGCATGGCTAATCAGCTTTTAATGGGGCACCTGTGTATAAACACTTGCTCTGCTGCTCTGAAAAAACTGAGGCCTCTGTCCTCATTTCGGGTTGTGCCCTATTGTGCTGTAACGAGGCTATTTTTGCTTGTTTTGGTTCAGGCTGACCTTCTCTGCTGGTGAGATGTTGAATAAAAAAGGTTCTGAAGAAAAGGTGTGAATCCAGTGCACGATTATTTTCCTGGTTGGTGGTGGCCTTGCATATTCAGTGAGATTAGTTGTCCAAAGTTGGAATTTGTAAGAGCAGTACAGGGGAGACTCGAGGGAAAAACCGTTATGAAAATCGGAGCATATGAATGCTTTGTGTTCCCATGACTCTAGGCCCCCACCTAGTATGTGATTTCTCCCCTCCCACCCCATCCTGCCTCCTCGGGAATGTCTAAAGTTTAGAATAGATAATACATGGCCGTGATCGTGTAGTAGTCAGTACTCTGCGTTGGCAATAGCTAATGTGCGCCCCTGGTTCAGAAGGTACATTGTAAAGTAATTCCCTCTCACGCTCATTCCCCAGTTACCCAGTTCCTTTCCCCAGAGGTAACCACTGTTACAGTTTCTTCTGTGTCCTTCTGGACTTTTTTCTTGCATTTGCAAATACAGAGGCATAGGGTCTGATTGCCTTCCCACACAAGTGGTAGCATAGTCACTTCCCCATCACAGCATCCTGCGTCTTGCTTTTTTCTACTTCACTTGGAAATCATTCCACATCAGAACAGAGAGAGCAGCCTCATTCTCTATAAAAATGCACCATGTTTCTTCACATGGATGATTTATTTAGCCAGTTTCCTGCTGGTAGGTGTTTAGGTTGGTTCCATTCTTTTTCTCATATTGATGCTGCTGCATCTGAATAGTTTTGTATGTATGTCATTTTGCATTTGTGGAAGTATATTTATTTATTTATTTATTTTTAAATGTTTTATTTCTAGGAGAGAGAGAGAGAGAGTGTGAGCAGGGGAGGGTCAGAGAGAGAGGGGGTCACAGACTGAAACCGGCTCCAGGCTCTGAGCTGGCAGTCAGCACAGAGCCCGACGTGGGGCTCGAACCCACGAACCGCGAGATCATGACCTAAGCGAAAGTCGGATGCTTAACCGACTAAGCCACCCAAGCGCCCCAATGTGGAAGTATATTTATAAGGTAAATAAATGGGGGTGGAATTGTGAGGTCAAAGAATATTTGCATTTATCCAAGATTATATTAAGGAATAAAGCCACCCAGGCACCCCATGCTGTTGTTTCTTAAGTGTCCTTCCAGAGAGTTTTTCCCCACCATCTAACCAATAAAAATTTAAATTTTTACTCTTTTGGTTGTTTACACAGATGATTATACACTATATATACTATCCTTAGAGAACTTTCCATGTCAGTATGTGAAGTGCATTCTTTCCTGTGGCTGTAGTATATTCACAGAACCATAGACAGACAGACTGATAGATTTTCAAGGATTGGCTTACATGATTGTGGAGATTTGGTAAAGTCCGCAGAGGGGATGCCTGGCTGGCTCAGTTGGAAGAGCATGCTGCTCTTGATCTTGGGGTCATGAGTTTGAGCCCCACATTAGGTATAGAGATTAGTAGAAAAAAATAAATAAACTTTAAAAATATATAAAGTAAAATAAAAACTCTGCAGGATAGGCTGGAGACCCAGGAAAGAGTTGGGTCCAAAGGCAGTCCACTAGAAGATTTAAAAAAATTTTTTTAAATATCTTATTTTTTGAGAGATGGAGACATGAGCAGGGAAGGGGCAGAGAGCGAGGGAGACACAGAATCTGAAGCTGGCTCCAAGCTCTGAGCTGTCGGCACAGAGCCTGATGTGGGCTCGAACCCATGACCTGAGCTGAAGTCATGCTCAACTGACTGAGCCACCCAGGTGCCCCTAGAAGAATTTCTTCTTGCTGGGGTGGTAGGGAAATAAGTTTGTTTTTTTTTTAATTTAAAAAAAATGTTTACTTATTTTTGAGAGAGGGAGAGAGCACAGAGCCCGATACGAGGCTCAAACCCATAAACTGTGAGATCATGACCTGAGCCAAAGTTGGATACTCCACCACTGAGCTACCCAGGTACCTGGAGGAATCGGTCTTTATTCTATTAAGATTCAACTGATTGGATGAGGCCCACCCACATTATAAAGGAGAATCTGCTTTACTCTCACATAAAAGTCTATCAATTTATTTTATTTTTTTTCTCCTTTGGTTTTATTGCTATTGCTAAGTGTGTGCACCATGGTTCAGAGAAAAGTCTACTGGTTTAAATGTTAATCTCATTCCACCACCCAAAAAACAAAAAAACACTTTCACAGAAACATTCAGAATAGTATTTGACCAAATATTTGGACCTAGCAGGCCAGCCCAGTTAATACACGACATTAACCATCACAGTGCCAAACTGACTTATATAGAGATTGTTCGAATTTATGCAAGATTACCAAATTAATCTTACAGATATCAAAGAAGGGCAAATTGGTACCTTTGGACAATGTCCAAATGTGTCTGAGACTTCTGGGGGCCTCATGTCCCTGAAACCATGAACATCTAATGTAAAAAGAATTCACAGGGGAAAAAAAAAAAGAATTCACAGAATGTCAGAACAGGAAGACACCCTAAATATAAATACAACCTAGTTAAATCCACTCATATTTACAAATAGGGAAATGGAGCCCTAGAGACTGAGAGTGGCCACTGGCCAAAGATCAATACTGCCCTGTGACCCATGGGTGCCCTGCTTGGTTCAGAAATGGGATCCTGAGAGACCTGAAGGGAATTCAGCCTGGCAAGTGCAGATCTCAGTCAGGATACTCTGTACAGAGCTGCACCCAGCTGGCCCCTGGACAGATTCTGACCAAGGAGCTCCTTGGCCCCGCCCAATCCAAGCCTTCTGGTCCCACCTGGATCACAACAGTGGCTTCCTGATAGCCCCACGCTGGGCTTCACCCTCACAGCTTCTGCTCAATGGCCTATTTCCAGTGTGCTCATTCTTGTGGGCAAGTCTCACGTCAGCAGACAGATCCAAATGCTCATGACTCTGCATGGTATCCAGGGGAGAGTCCAAACTCCTTCACACACCAAGCTCTCACAGTGTGGCCCTGCCTATATCTTCTACCCTCCGTCTCCCTTGCCTCCCGGCATGCACCCTGTACAGGAGTGTCTGGTCTACCAGACTGCTGAGCACTGCCAAGCCATGTGCCGTCTGCCTCTCTTTCCCTAGAGCCTACAGTGCCTGCCCATGCCTCAGATGTAGCATCCAGGGCACTAGAGAGGGCCTCCCTTGACATCTCCAGGCCATAGTAAGGAGATCTCTGGTTTCTGTTAATACTTCCACTACAGAGGGCACCTCGGTGGCTCAGTTGGTTGGGCATCTGCCTCTTAATTTCAGCTCCAGCTCTACAAATCTCTCTCCCTTTCTCTCTCGCCCCTCCCACCCCCATAAATAAATCAACATTAAAAAAAAATGCTTCCCCTACAGAAGCCAGGGGCCTAGGCTCTGGAGTCAGAATGCTTGGTTCCAATCCTGGCCCCTCTGCCTTCCAACTGTGTGACCCCAGGCAAGCTCCTAACCTCTCAGAACTTTAGTGTCCTCACTTGTGAAACAGGTGTAGTTCGTGCCTCCCAGGGTTATCGGGCGGAGCATAATACCTACTCAGCTAAGGGTGAGCTATTCATTATCAGTTTATTGTAATTATTTGTTTCCAGGATTCTCTTCCCAACTAGCCTGTGAGCCTCTTGATAAGACTTGTTTTTCAGCTCAGGAACCCTAACTCTTGGCATCATTCAGCCGCTCCCCTCCCCACCCCCACCTGGTCCCGGGATCCTGTTGTCAGTTGAAATGAGATGAGGCCGTGCGCAGATCCTCCGTGGCAGGACTGTTAAACAGGCCTGGCTTTAGAAGACGAAATTCGGGAAATTAGTTTGATTGTTGGTTAGTGTTAACATAGATCATAGATAAGTCTTTAGGGTAAGGCAGCCTGGCAGGCTGGGCACCCCTCTTCCAGGAGCCGCCGAACGCCTGCTCCATGGCTCCACAAACGTTGTTGGAGCGCCTCCTGTGGGCCAGGGTGCCCCTGGTCCCTGTAGGAGCTGGGCGGTAAGTGTACACACGGGTGACTGATGGGTTGTCTTTTCAGTGCCTCCAGTTCCGTGCGAGAGATTATATCCTCACTCCCGTTTGCTCTAGTTCAGATTTCATTATGAACTCCAGGAGCGCCTCCAGTCACTTTGTCATATTGGAATTTTGTCCTGAATATAATCTATTGAATCAGGGGCATTGATCAGAGGGCCTGTAGACTGTGAGGTAGAGATTTTGCTGCAACGCTGGGGGATTCGAGCCCAGTCTTTCTTACTGATAGCACTTCATCTTTGCATTGATTCACTCTTGTTCCTGTTCTGCTTAAAAACCTGCTGTCCGTTGGGGTGCCTGGGTGGCTTAGTCGGTTAAGCGTCCGACTTTCGCTTGGGTCATGATCTCGCGGTTCGTGGGTTTGAGCCCCACGTCAGGCTCTGTGCTGACTGCCAGCTCAGAGCCTGGAGCCTGTTTCAGTCTGTGACTCCCTCTCTCTCTGACCCTCCCCTGCTCACGCTCTCTCTCTCTCCTAGAAATAAATAAAACATTAAAAAAGGGGCGCCTGGGTGGCTTAGTCGGTTAAGCGTCCGACTTTCGCTT